TACTTCCACCTGGTGACCTGGTCCGTCCCCTTCGTTCTCACCGTGGCCATCTTGGCGGTGGCCCAGGTAAGGGTGGGGCCGGCTGAGCTCAGGGGAGCTTTGGGCGAGAAGCAGGGCCTTCTCGGCGATGGCGCCTTGATTCTAGAATTCTTCCCACGGAGGAACCGTGGCGGACCTTCTGTTTCCGTCTGTCTCCCTCGTGTTGTGGACACAGGTTTTATGTCAAGGGTGTTTTTTCAGGAGGCAACTGGACTTTCTTGTTTTTCGTTTGAAGACGTTTCGCTTGTCTTCCCAGAAGCTTCTTCAGCTCTGACCGGCTGGTGGGGAAATAGAAGGATTTATACTCCTTGCAGAGAGCTGGTCATTTGCCTTTTTTTAGAGAGCCGTTGAAGCCACTTGGAGGTTTGTCTGTGTCCTCAGGGTCACCTGAGGGGTGCAAATGGGTGTGGAGCCTTCTTGGCTACAGGATGTTTTCTGCCCTGTGTCCCTTCACACCCATTTGCACCACTCAGCTGACCCTGAGGACACAGACAAACCTCCAAGTGGCCTCAACGACCGTCCAAAAGGATGCAAATGACCAACTGTCTGCAAGGAGTATAAATCCTCCCATTCCCCACCATCCAGTCACGGTTGAAGTAGCGAAATGTCTTCAAAGAAAAAGTAAGGAAGTCCAGTTGCCTCCTGAAAAAAACAACCATCACCTGGAAGACGGAGAATCTCCATACACACACACACACACACACACACACACACACAGGTTTCTGGTTCTTGTTTACGACTGTGTGACTTGGTTCACCGTTGTTATTCATTTTATTTGTGACATATGTACAGTTCGTTTAGCGACTATTCGCAGTTAGCAACGGCCCTGAAAAAAAGGGACAACGGTCATTTTTCACCCTTAACCACCGTTGCAGCGTCCTCGTGGTCCCGTGATCAAAATTCAAACGCTTGGCCGCCGATTCCTATTTACGACGGTCGCCGTGTCCCCCGGGGTCCTGTGGGACGGCCTGCATCGGTCTGTCCTGTTTTTATTCCATGTTAAGCGTTAAGCGTCCCAGAGTCAGGAATGTGAGTTGGGGAGGCCTTATCGATTGGTTAAAATAATTAGAGGGAGTTTTTGGACGAGACGAGAGAGTTTTTGATCGCTGTTCCTCTTTTCTTCCTTTCGAACCCTTCCAGGTGGACGGAGATTCGGTTAGTGGCATCTGCTTTGTGGGCTACAAAAACTACCACTACCGTGCCGGGTTTGTCCTGGCCCCCATCGGCCTGGTGTTAATTATCGGGGGCTACTTCCTGATCAAAGGTGAGCTTCTGTCCCTCTGGAATCCTGCCTTTGCTTTCCTCTTTGTTCTAGACCAGCGGTAGGCAACCTTGCCCCTTTTATGACTGGTGGACTTCAACTCCCAGAATTCCTGGCTAGCTGGGGCAGGGGTAGGCAACCTTGGCTCTTTTATGACTCGTGGACTTCAACTCCCAGAATTCCTTAGCCAGCCATGCTGAGGGGAAAGGGAGAGGTTTCCATTGTAGCCATGCTGGCTCAGGAATTCTGGGAGTTGAAGTCCGCAAGTCATGAGGGGGCCATAGTTCCCCCATGCTGGCTCAGGAATTCTGGGAGTTGAAGTCCGCAAGTCATGAGGGGGACATAGTTCCCCCATGCTGGATGAGGAATTCTGGGAGTTGAAGTCTACCCATCTCTGAGTGGCCAAGGTTGAGAAATACAGGCCTAGTCCAGGGGTAGGCAACCTTGGCTCTTATATGACTTGTGGACTTCAAGTCCCAGAATTCCTTAGCCAGCCACGCTGAGGGGAAAGGGAGAGGTTTCCAAGCTGAACCATGCTGGCTAAGGAATTCTGGGACTTGAAGTCCACGAGTCATAAAAGAGCCAAGGTTGCCTATCCCTGTCCTGAGGCCTCCTGTTCTAAACGGTGACCCTCCTAGACCAGGGGTAGGCAACCTTGGCTCTTTTATGACTGGTGGACTTCAACTCCCAGAATTCCTGAGCCAGCCACGCTGAGGGGAAAGGGAGAGGTTTCCAAGCTGAGCCATGCTGGCTCAGGAATTCTGGGAGTTGAAGTCCACCAGTCATAAAAGAGCCCTCCTTCCATTATGTATTCAAGGTGGACGGTGATTAATATTTACATGTTACTTATATGTCAGGGTGTAGGTCTTTACATATGTTGTATATAGTATGTTTAAATGTGTGTTGTGTATGTGTACATGCATGTGCAACAGGTATTTGTGTGTGTGCATGCGCTCACGGATGCATTCACTCCCTGCCCCCCACAGAAAATGATCCTTTCCCCCCTCCCCTCTCTCCAGCCTGGGGAACTCTGTCCCACAAGGACCCAAACAAGCCCCTTCTTCTCTCCCGCAGGAGTGATGACGCTCTTCTCCATCAAAAGCAACCATCCAGGTCTCCTTAGTGAGAAAGCGGCCAGCAAGATCAACGAGACCATGTTACGCCTCGGTAAGTGGAGTAAGTCCTCACCCGCTCAGCGGCTGTTTATTTAACCATGGTCTGAATTAACAACTGCCTCGGAAAGGGTGCTGCTGCACAGACGCACGGCCCATAAAACACGGTTGTACGATCATTCTCCGCGATGGTGATCAGCCTGTCTCATGAATGCAGCCGCTTCTCGGGACCTTCCCACGACTGGAATCCCTTCTGATGGGTGTCCTTTCGTCCCCAGGGATCTTTGGCTTCTTGGCCTTCGGCTTTGTCTTCATCACCTTCGGCTGCCATTTCTACGACTTCTTCAACCAGGCGGAGTGGGAACGCAGCTTCCGAGAATACGTGCTGTAAGTCGGGAGGTGCTGCCCACGCGGCTCTGGTTTTAAGCAGCCCGGCGTGGATTCGCACGCGTGTCCAGGTTCCCTCGATGACCGATTGCTGAAAAAGGGATCCGGAACTTTCAGACCGAGCTCTTTTCCCCGGGCGGCTGTTCTATGAAGGACCCCCGATGGCCCACCTCCATGCCAGGGTCCAGAAAGCAGCATCAAGCAATGATGGCTTTGCTGAACGAGGATGGGCAGCCCGACTTGGTTCGGGGAGCTGAAATCCCGTTCTTGGGTTTGAGAAACGGTTCCAGCTTTCTTTCAAAGGCGTCGTCTTGCTCGGGCTGAATTCTGGTGACATAAAACAGATTTTTCTTCTCCCCCCCCCCATTCTGGATCACTTGTTTCTTTTTCTTTTTGCAGTTTTATAACGTTTGATTAGATTATAGAATAAAATACAAAAATGCAAAAGCAAAGAATAGGGCACGGTGGGGAGGGAAAGAGGGAAGGAAAGTGAGCAGGAGAGGGAGAAAAGGAAAGAAAGGGCGTTGACATCCATTGCAGTAGAAGGAAGCATTAATATTGAACCTCAACTTTTTACTTTTCCGTAATAGTATAAACTAGCCATTTCTATGACAACAAATCCATCTAATCCAGGGGTCTTCAAACTTGGCCCTTTTGGGACTTGTGGACTTCAACTCCCAGAATTCCTCAGCCAGGCACGCGTGCCTGGCTGAGGAATTCTGGGAGTTGAAGTCCACAAGTCCTAAAAGGGCCATGTTTGAAGACCCCTGTCTTAAATCTAACAAACAAAATGGAGGCTGGCTGAGGAATTCTGGGAGTTGAAGTCCCCAAGTCCTAAAAGGGCCAAGTTTGAAGTCCCCTGTCTTAAATCTAACAAACAAAATGGAGGCTGGCTGAGGAATTCTGGGAGTTGAAGTCCACAAGTCCTAAAAGGGCCATGTTTGAAGACCCCTGTCTTAAATCTAACAAACAAAATGGAGGCTGGCTGAGGAATTCTGGGAGTTGAGGTCCACAAGTCATAAAAGGGCCAAGTTTGAAGACCCCTGTCTTAAATCTAAGAAACAAAATGGAGGCTGGCTGAGGAATTCTGGGAGTTGAAGTCCCCAAGTCNTACTTCCACCTGGTGACCTGGTCCGTCCCCTTCGTTCTCACCGTGGCCATCTTGGCGGTGGCCCAGGTAAGGGTGGGGCCGGCTGAGCTCAGGGGAGCTTTGGGCGAGAAGCAGGGCCTTCTCGGCGATGGCGCCTTGATTCTAGAATTCTTCCCACGGAGGAACCGTGGCGGACCTTCTGTTTCCGTCTGTCTCCCTCATGTTGTGGACACAGGTTTTATGTCAAGGGTGTTTTTTCAGGAGGCAACTGGACTTTCTTGTTTTTCGTTTGAAGACGTTTCGCTTGTCTTCCCAGAAGCTTCTTCAGCTCTGACTGGCTGGTGGGGGAATGGAAGGATTTATACTCCTTGCAGAGAGCTGGTCATTTGCCTTTTTTTAGAGAGCCGTTGAAGCCACTTGGAGGTTTGTCTGTGTCCTCAGGGTCACCTGAGGGTTGCAAATGGGTGTGGAGCCTTCTTGGCTACAGGATGTTTTCTGCCCTGTGTCCCTTCACACCAATTTGCACCACTCAGGTGACCCTGAGGACACAGACAAACCTCCAAGTGGCCTCAACGACCGTCTAAAAGGATGCAAATGACCAGCTCTCTGCAAGGAGTATAAATCCTCCCATTCCCCACCATCCAGTCACGGTTGAAGTAGCGAAATGTCTTCAAAGAAAAAGTAAGGATGTCCAGTTGCCTCCTGAAAAAAACAACCATCACCTGGAAGACGGAGAATCTCCATACACACACACACACACACAAACACAGAGGTTTCTGGTTCTTGTTAGTTTACGACTGTGTGACTTGGTTCACCGTTGTTATTCATTTTATTTGGGACATATGTACAGTTCGTTTAGCGACTATTCGCAGTTAGCAACGGCCCTGAAAAAAAGGGACAACGGTCATTTTTCACCCTTAACCACCGTTGCAGCGTCCTCGTGGTCCCGTGATCAAAATTCAAACGCTTGGCCGCCGATTCCTATTTACGACGGTCGCCGTGTCCCCCGGGGTCCTGTGGGACGGCCTGCATCGGTCTGTCCTGTTTTTATTCCATTTTAAGCGTTAAGCGTCCCAGAGTCAGGAATGTGAGTTGGGGAGGCCTTATCGATTGATTAAAATAATTAGAGGGAGTTTTTGGACGAGACGAGAGAGTTTTTGATCGCTGTTCCTCTTTTCTTCCTTTCGAACCCTTCCAGGTGGACGGAGATTCGGTTAGTGGCATCTGCTTTGTGGGCTACAAAAACTACCACTACCGTGCGGGTTTTGTCCTGGCCCCCATCGGCCTGGTGTTAATTATCGGGGGCTACTTCCTGATCAAAGGTGAGCTTCTGTCCCTCTGGAATCCTGCCTTTGCTTTCCTCTTTGTTCTAGACCAGCGGTAGGCAACCTTGGCCCTTTTATGACTGGTGGACTTCAACTCCCAGAATTCCTGGCTAGCTGGAGCAGGGGTAGGCAACCTTGGCTCTTTTATGACTCGTGGACTTCAACTCCCAGAATTCCTGAGCCAGCCGTGCTGAGGGGAAAGGGAGAGGTTTCCAAGCTGAGCCATGCTGGCTCAGGAATTCTGGGAGTTGAAGTCCACCAGTCATGAGGGGGCCCTAGTTCCCCCATGCTGGCTCAGGAATTCTGGGAGTTGAAGTCCACGAGTCATGAGGGGGCCATAGTTCCCCCATGCTGGCTCAGGAATTCTGGGAGTTGAAGTCTACCCATCTCTGAGTGGCCAAGGTTGAGAAATACAGGCCTAGTCCAGGGGTAGGCAACCTTGGCTCTTATATGACTCGTGGACTTCAAGTCCCAGAATTCCTGAGCCAGCCACGCTGAGGGGAAAGGGAGAGGTTTCCAAGCTGAACCATGCTGGCTCAGGAATTCTGGGAGTTGAAGTCCACCAGTCATAAAAGAGCCAAGGTTGCCTACCCCTGTTCTATACAGTATTAACCTCGTGAACTTTAAAGCTCCCTCCTTCCGTTATGTATTCAAGGTGGACGGTGATTAATATTTACATGTTACTTATATGTCAGGGTGTAGGTCTTTACATATGTTGTATATAGTATGTTTAAATGTGTGTTATGGATGTGTACATGCATGTGACACATATATGTGTGTGTGTGCACGCGTTCACAGATGCATTCACTCCCTGCCCCCCACAGAAAATGATTCTTTCCCCCCTTCCCTCTCTCCAGCCTGGGGAACTCTGTCCCACAAGGACCCAAACAAGCCCCTTCTTCTCTCCCACAGGAGTGATGACGCTCTTCTCCATCAAAAGCAACCATCCAGGTCTCCTTAGTGAGAAAGCGGCCAGCAAGATCAACGAGACCATGTTACGCCTCGGTAAGTAGAGGGAGTCCTCACCCACTCAACGGCCGTTTACTGAACGATGGTCTGAATTAACAACCGCCTCGGAAAGGGTGCTGCTGCACAGACGCACGCCCCATAAAACACAGTTGTACGATCATTCTCCGCGATGGTGATCAGCCTGTCTCATGAATGCAACCGCTTCTCGGGACCTTCCCACGACCGGAAGCCCTTCTGATGGGTGTCCTTTCATCCCCAGGGATCTTCGGCTTCTTGGCCTTCGGCTTTGTCTTCATCACCTTCGGCTGCCATTTCTACGACTTCTTCAACCAGGCGGAGTGGGAACGCAGCTTCCGAGAATACGTGCTGTAAGTCGGGAGGTGCTGCCCGCGCGGCTCTGGTTTTAAGCAGCCTGGCGTGGATTCGCACGCGTGTCCAGGTTCCCTCAATGACCGATTGCTGAAAAAGGGATCCGGAACATTCAGACCGAGCTCTTTTCCCCGGGCGGCTGTTCTATGAAGGACCCCCGAGAGCCCGATGGCCCACCTCCATGTCAGGGTCCAGAAAGCAGCATCAAGCAATGATGGCTTTGCTGAACGAGGATGGGCAGCCCGACTTGGTTCGGGGAGCTGAAATCCCGTTCTTGGGTTTGAGAAACGGTTCCAGCTTTCTTTCAAAGGCGTCGTCTTGCTCGGGCTGAATTCTGGTGACATAAAACAGATTTTTCTTCTCCCCCCCCCCATTCTGGATCACTTGTTTCTTTTTCTTTTTGCAGGTTTATAACGTTTGATTAGATTATAGAATAAAATACAAAAATGCAAAAGCAAAGAATAGGGCACGGTGGGGAGGGAAAGAGGGAAGGAAAGTGAGCAGGAGAGGGAGAAAAGGAAAGAGAGGGCGTTGACATCCATTGCAGTAGAAGGAAGCATTAACATTGAACCTCAATTTTTTACTTTTCCGTAATAGTATAAACTAGCCATTTCTATGACAACAAATCCATCTAATCCAGGGGTCTTCAAACTTGGCCCTTTTAGGACTTGTGGACTTCAACTCCCAGAATTCCTCAGCCAGGCACGCGAGGCTGGCTGAGGAATTCTGGGAGTTGAAGTCCACAAGTCCTAAAAGGGTCAAGTTTGAAGACCCCTATCTTAAATCTATCAAACAAAATGGAGGCTGGCTGAGGAATTCTGGGAGTTGAAGTCCACAAGTCATCAAAGGGCCAAGTTGGAAGACCCCTGTCTTAAATCTAACAAACAAAATGGAGGCTGGCTGAGGAATTCTGGGAGTTGAAGTCCCCAAGTCATAAAAGGGCCAAGTTTGAAGACCCCTGCCTTAAATCTAACAAACAAAATGGAGGCTGGCTGAGGAATTCTGGGAGTTGAAGTCCCCAAGTCATAAAAGAGCCAAGGTTGCCTATACCCCTGCCCTAAACCAATAGTGGTGAGTTGAGGTCCGGCTTGTACTTCTGTTTATTAGGTGGGGTTCCTCAACCCGTCCCCCCTCTGCCGTTTCTCACCCCCCCCCTCTTACCTGCCGCAGGTGCGAGGCCAACGTGACCATCGCCACGCAGACCAAGAAGCCGATCCCGGATTGTGGGATCAAGAACCGTCCCAGCCTTCTGGTGGAGAAGATCAACCTCTTCGCCATGTTTGGGACGGGCATCTCCATGAGCACCTGGGTCTGGACCAAGGCCACCCTGCTCATCTGGAAGCGCACCTGGGGCAGGTAGGAAGGAGGGAGGGGGTGCAGGGGTGCCACATGCTGGGAGGGGCTGGAATTGAGGGGTCCTCCTAGTCCACGACGCAGAAGGTGCTCTTGTCAAGCGCCAACAACGTACAGGTGGTCCTTGAGTTACAGCCGTCCGTTTAGCGGCCATTTGGAGTTAGCCCTCGTTCTTGCTCTTTTTTTTGTCCCTTTTCTCCCTCTTCCGTTTCTTTCTTTTCTCCTCTGCCATTACCGACGCTTCTCCTTGTTCTTGCGTCGGTTTTCCTTGCTGTTTCTCCCTTCCTCTACTTCCTTCTAGTTTATTCTTCCCTCCTTTCTTCTCCTTCTCCTTGTTCTCCTCCTCCTTCTCCTCCTCCTCGCTTCTTCTTTGCTTCCCCTTCAGTCCTTCCTCCACTTCTCCTCCTCTTCCTTTCTTCTCTCCTTCTCCGTTTTCCAATTCCTCCTCTTCCTTCTTCTCCTTCTTCTTGTTCTCCTCCTCCTCCTCCTCCTCGCTTCTTCTTTCCTTCCCCTTCAGTCCTTCCTCCACTTCTCTTCCTTTTCCTTTCTTCTTTCCTTCTCCTTTTTCCAGTTCCTCCTCTTCCTTCTTCTCCTTCTTCTTGTTCTCCTCCTTCTCCTCCTCCTCCTCTTTGCTTCTTCTTTCCTTCCCCTTCAGTCCTTCCTCCACTTCTCCTCCTCCTCCTCCTTTTTGCTTCTTTATTTCCCCTTCAGTCCTTCCTCCTCCTCTTCCTCCTTTTCCTTGCGTCTTCTTTCCTTCCCTTTCAGTCCTTCCTCCACTTCTCCTCCTCCTCCTTTTCCTTTCTTCTTTCCTTCTCCTTCAGTTCTTCCTCCACTTCTCCTCCTCCTCTCCTTCACCTTCTCTTCTTTTTCTACTTCCTACTGTTTCTTCTCCTCCTCCTCCTCTTCCTCCTTCTCCTCTATCTCCTTTTTTCGACCATTCGTACCTCAGTTCTTAAGTGAATCACTGCAGTTGATTAGTTAGCAACACACTTGTTAAGTGACTCCGGCCTGCCCCACGGACTTCGCTTGTCGGAAGGCCGCCAAAGTGGGGGAGTCCCGTGACCCCAAGACTCTGCAAACCGTCACAAAGACGAGGCGGTTGCCAAGCGTCCGAATTCGGGTCAGGTGAGCACGGGGAGGCCGCGAGGGCCGCAAGCGTGAGAAACGGTCCTGAGTCGGTCCCCAAATGAACCGTTGTAAGGCGGGGCCGGCTTGCACAGGATGCTTTTGCGTCCTGCGGGGCTCTTGTCGCCGCCCCCCACCCCACTTTGGAAGTTGCGGTGTGTTCCAGGGTCGTCGCAAAACTCTTGTCGTTTGCTCTTCCGTGGGGAAATGGGACACTTTCACGGCCATATTTTCCCTTTTGGATCAGGAGGCACAGGGTGAAATGGCCTGAAATGGCACAGGGTCTCCTGCTGGAGCAGGGGGCTGGACTAGATCAGGGCTTTTCAACCAGTGGTACGGGTACCACCTGTGGTACATTGGCACCTGGCAGGTGGTACGCGACCCTCCTAGAAAAGGGGTAGCAGGGGAGGGGAATGAGCTGAACCGGTGGCAGCACCGCACAACCCCGAGCAAGAGACGGCTGGAGCTGCAGGGCTGTCAGGGCTCAGCGGAAGCCCCAGGATCAGCGCCAGGATCCAGCTGGAGCTCGTCGTTGATCCTGGCGCTTCTGCTGAGCCCAGAAGAAGCGCCGAAGTGACCAAAACTTGCTGCAACCACCCAGCAGACGGGGGGGGGGGAATAAAAACCAAAAAAACCCCACCCCACCTCCTCTGCCAATCCTCAACAGAAATGCTCACAACCATGAAAACCTCGGACAGGAGGAAGAGCGCGGCCGGGCGGGCAGGCAGGCGTCTTGCTCAGCTGTGGCTTGGGAGGCACTTTTTTCAGTGCCATTGTAACTTCAAACAGTCACTAAGTGAACTGTTGTAAGTCGAGGACTACCTGTACTTTATCACTTTTCCCCTTTTTTTGGGGGGGGGGTCATCAAGTTTTTTGACACCTTGCTAGGCGACTGGTGGTACTCGGATGTTGCCATATCCTAAAAGTGGTACAATGGGTGAAAAGGTTGAAAAGCCCTGGACTAGATGACCTCCCAAGGTCCCTTCCAGCTCTAGTCTGATTGAAATCACACACCCCCGGGGCCAGGTTGCAAATGGTTGCAAGCGGCAAAGAGGGCGAGAGGCTTAAAATAACAAGCGTTACAAGATGGGGACAGCCCTCTTCCCACACAATGCAGCCGCGGGCAGGGTCCCACGCCCCTCTGCCCGAGGGCTCCGGGTCAGGCAGGAGGCCGCTGACGCCCTCTTCTCCCCCAGGCTGACCGGCCAGAGCAGCAACGAGCCGAAACGGCTGAAGAAGAGCAGGATGATCGCCAAGGCCTTCTCCCGGCGGAAGGAGCTGCGGCAGAACCCCCAGCAGGAGCTCTCCTTCAGCCTGCGCACCGTCTCGCATGAGGGGCCGGTCGGTACGTGCTGGGAGGAGGAGGGGAGGGGAGGGGGCTTGTCCTGGGGGAGGGAGGGAGGGGGAGAGGGGCTGGGGCTCTGGGAGGTTGGGGTGGTTTCCTGGCAGGCGTTTCGTGACCCAACTAGGGAACGTCATCAGGGCTGGAAGGGAGGGGGGGTTGCGAGGAGGAGGAGGAGGATTGTGGGGTCCGGGATGCTCTCTGAGCTGGGTGGTTTTGTGGCAGACGTTTCATGACCCCAGCTAGGGAACATCAAAAGCGGTAGAAGGCGTGGGGATTGTAGAGAGGAGCAGGAGGAGAAGGGGAGGAGGAGAAGAACTGGGGGGTCCTTGGTGCTCTCTGAGCTTGGTAGTTTTCTTGCAGACATTTCATGACCCAACTAGGTAACAGCATCAGGGCTAGAAGGGAGTGGAAGGAAGGAAGGAAGGAAGGAAGGAAGGAAGGAAGGAAGGAAGGAAGGAAGGAAGGAAGGAAGGAAGGAAGGAGAAGAACTGTGGGGTCCTTGGTGCTGGGTGGCTTTCTTGCAGACATTTCAAGACCCAACTAGGGAACATCATCAGTGCTAGAAGGGAGTGGAAAGGAGAAGGGGAAGGAAGGAAGGAAGGAAGGAAGGAAGGAAGGAAGGAAGGAAGGAAGGAAGGAGAAGAACTGTGGGGTCCTTGGTGCTGGGTGGCTTTCTTGCAGACATTTCAAGACCCAACTAGGGAACATCATCAGTGCTAGAAGGGAGTGGAAAGGAGAAGGGGAAGGAAGGAAGGAAGGAAGGAAGGAAGGAAGGAAGGAGAAGAAGGACAAGGACTGTGGGGTCCCTGGTGCTCTCTGAGCTCGGTTGTTTTCTGGCAGACGTTTCATGACCCAACTAGATAACATCATCAGGACTAGAAGGGAGTGGGGTATGCAGAGAGAGGAGGAGGAGGAAGAGGAGGAAGGACTGTAGGGGTCCCTAGTGCTCTCTGAGCTTGGTTGTTTTCTTGCAGACGTTTCATGACCCAAGTGAGTAACATCAGTGCAAGAAAGGAGGGGGATTTAAGAGGGAGGGAAGGAAGGAAGGAAGGAAGGAAGGAAGGAAGGAAGGAAGGAAGGGAGAGAGAGAGAATGTGGGGTCCTTGATGCTCTCTGAGCTTGGTGCTTTTCTTGCAGACGTTTCATGACCCAACTAGGTAACATCACCAGTGTTAGAAGGGAGTGAAGAGGAAGGAAAGGAAGGGAGGAAGGAAAGGAAGGGAGGAAGGAAGGAAGGGAAAAACTGTGGGTTCCTTGGTGCTCTTTGAGTTTGGTGGTCTCCTTACAGACGTTTCATGACCCAGCTAGGTAACATCATCAGTGCTGGGAGGGGAGGAGGAGGAGGAGCAAGAATTGGGTGGTCTCTGAGCTTGGCTGTTTTCTTGCAGACGTTTCATGACCCAGCTAGGTACCATCATCAGTGCTAGAAGGGAGGGGGGTTTGGTGGGGGAGGAAGAGGAGGAAGACGACAACAACTCTGGGGCTCTTGATTCTCTCTTGAGCTGGGTGGGTTTTCTTGCAGACATTTCATGACCCAACTAGGGAACGTCACCAGTGCTGAAGGGAGGGGGGGTTATAATAAACAGAAAGCAAAGCGCACTTCCTTTTAGTAGATTAACCGCGATGAAAATTTACAGCTCACTGTTGATAACTGGTGGAAAATATATTTGTTCCTCCGTCCAGCTGGTTTGGCGTTTGATCTCAGCGAGCCGTCGGGAGACATGTCCTCGGCTTGGGCGCAACATGTGACCAAGATGGTGGCCAGGAGAGGCGCCATTCTCTCTCAGGACGTCTCGGTCACACCGGTCGCCACGCCAGGTAATGGTTCTCGTCCAGGTTGGATGGGCAGGAAGTCAGGCTGGGCTGTGAAAGAGCCTGAAGGCCATTGGAAAATGACCTTCTTGGACATCTCATGGTGTTCCATCCATGGGGGGGGGGGGGTGTCAATTCTATCTTGACTCACTGCTGCCAGCTGTTGGCCAGACGCAGGAAATGCAAGATAGTCCACCTGTCATACACGCTCCTGGCCTGGAAAGTTGGGTGATGGGGAGAGGGACATGTCCCTTTGCTTTCTTCAGGGGAGAGGGCAAAAATGTGCCATCCAGATGTGTGTGTGAGAGAGAGAGAGGGAGGGAGGGAGGGAGGGAGGAGAGAGACAGGAGAGAGAGAAGAGAGGAGAGAGAGAAGAGAGACAGGAGAGAGAGAAAGAGGAGAGAGAGGAGAGAAGAGGAGAGAGAGGAGAGAAAAGAGAGACAGAAAGAGGAGACAGAGAAAGAGGAGAGAGAGGAGAGAGAAGAGAGAAAGAAGAGAGAGGAGACAGGAGAGAGAAAGAGGAGGAGAGAGACAGGAGAGAAGAGAGATAGAGAAAGAGGAGACGAGAGAAAGAAGAGAGAAGAAAGACAGGAGAGAGAGAAAGGAGAGAGAAGAAAGAAAGGAGAGAGAGAAAGAGGAGAGAGAAGAGAGAAAGAGAGAAGAGAGGAGAGAGACAGAAAGAGGAGAGAAAAGAGAGACAGAGAGAAAGAGAAGAGGAGAGAGAAAGAGGAGAGAGAGACAGGAGAGAGGAGAGAGATAGAGAAAGAGAGGAGACAGGAGAGAAAGAGGAGAGAAGAGAGGAGAGAGAGAAGAAAGACAGGAGAGAGAGAGGAAGGAGAGAGAGAAGAAAGAGAAAGGAGAGAGAGACAGGAGAGAAAGAGAGACAAAGAGAAGAGAGAGAGGAGAGAGAGAGGAGAGAGGAGAGAGAAAGAGAGAAGAGAGACAGGAGGGAGAGAAGAAAGACAGGAGAGAGAGACAGGAGAGAAAGAGAGAGACAAAGAGAAGAGAGACAGGAGAGAGAGAGGAGAGAGAAAGAGAGAAGAGAGACAGAGAGAGAAAGAGGAGAGAGAGAGAAGAGAGAGAGGAGAAAGAGAGAAGAGAGGAGAGAGAGAGAGAAGAGAGAGAAAGGAGAGAGACAGAGAGAGCGCTTTTATCTCTGCAAATAGGCAACGCCTGGACAAAAACTAAATTTGATTTACTTTATACCAGGGTGGAATGAAAATTAAATGTTCAGAGATAATCCTCGATTTAACGACCACAATTCAGATGCTTGGCAACCCTTTTGTGACTTTCTGATGGGGAAGCCAGCTTCACTTTACAACCGTGGTATTAACTTAACAACCGCGGCGATTTGCTTCACAGCTACGGCGAGAAAGGTCGTAAAACGGGGCAAAAACTCCCTCGGCAACTCCCGGCTCCCCCCCCCCCCCCCCCCCCCCCCCCCCCCCCCCCCCCCGGCTTGGTCTCACTTAGCCGCAGAAATGTGGGGCTCAGTTAACAACGGGAAAGTGTAGGGTGTTGGACTAGATGACCTCCAAGATCCCTTACAACAACATCGTTGTTATTATTATCGTTATTATCATCATCATCATCATCATCATCATCATCATCATTATTATTATTATTATTATTATGATGTGGGTTTCATTATTATTATTATTATTATTATTATGTGGGTTTCAGTTGTGGCCATGTAGGCAGGGACTCAGTGTAGTACAAAGTGCACCCCAGTGTAAATGCAAAATGTCAATCTGTCCCCTTCTGATCCGTCCCAAAATGAAACCTAGCGGTGTGCTGACAGCTGCCAATCATCCTCTGGGAATCTGGAGGTGCTTTCCCTGTGGAATAACGGCCCTCTCCCCCTCCCTTTTCAGTGCCCCCCGAGGAGAGGGCCAGTCACTGGCTGATGGAAGGCGAGTTTTCCTCCAGGCGGGCCAAGAAATCGACCCGGAAGAAGAAGAAGCACAGGAAGAAGAAGGGGGTCAACCCCTCCGGGCCGGCAGCTGAGACCTGCACCCCGAATTACTTCGCCCCGGGGGTCCCCAGCTCTGTCCCACACCTGCCCCGGCTCCCCAAGGCCAAGTGTTTCGTCGCCAGCCCAGAGCAAGCCCAGGCTTTGGACGACGTCCTTTTGCCTCGAGCGGCCCCCGACTGGAGACCCCGACACCCCCAGCAGCCGGACCACCCTCTGGGCCGACGGCCCCCCGGCAGCTGCAGGCGCGACAACCCACCAGATCTCATCAACCACCCCTTTTGTCCCGATCTCGGGGGTCCCGAGGAAACCGGACCGGAACGTGGAACGTGGCTGGTCCCCGGACGGCAGCCCTCGCATTTTCGGGGGGCTGCCTTCCCCACTGCCCCCAGGAGCTCAGCTGCTTTGTTCCTGGGCAGTGATGCCTATGGGGTGCAGCCGCCTCTGGGCAGGTGGGGTGGGTTGCCCCCCATCCATTCCCGGACAAACCTGATGGACGCCGAGTTGGTGGACCTGGACTCCGACTTTTAGGGGGGGGGCTTTCAATGGCTCGGCTTGGGGGGAGGGGCTGTCAATCCGCCGTGGTTGGTAGAAAGAAGGGGAAGGGTCTGTGCCTTCAGGACCACCCCTGGGGGGCTGCTCCATCCCCTTCAAGGATATTATGGGCATAGGGTTTCCTTGGACCGCCTTCTGAAGACCAGCCGTGCTTTAACCACCACCACCCTTCGACTTGTAGACCTCTGCAAGAAGACCACGGGTGGGATTGTCTCCTCGCTTTGGGATGAGGAGAACCTCAAGAAGGTTGGTGGCGTCCAGAATGAGGAAGACTCTGCAGTGCCAAATGTGGAAGGTGCCCCCTTGCGCTGATGAGGCTACCTAGTTGGGTCATGAAATGTCTGCAAGAAAACAGGCAAGCTCAGAGTATCAAGGACCCTCATTTCCTTCCTTCCTTCCTTCCTTCCTTCCTTCCTTCCTTCCTTCCTTCCTTCCTTCCTTCCTTCCTTCCCTCCCTCTATTCCTCCTCCTTTCTCTTCCTTTTCCTTTCCACAAACTCCATTCCCTTCTAACACTGATGACGTTCCCTAGTTGGGTCAGGAAACGTCTGCAAGAAAAGCACCACGCTCAGAGAGCACCAAG